TATGGTCCAGATACCAATATATAAAGTTAGCATATCTATAAAGTTCTTGTAGTATGTTTGCTGTGTTTATGGAGTGGTAGCTATTGCTAGTGATGATTTGAAATGCACTGCTTAGATACTAAGGTTAGAATTGTTAACAGGTTGCTAGTGTAAATCCTGCGAGTGCAAATCAAACATTCAGGCTGAGCAATCAAATGTTCTTCTAGAGAGTACATTCATAATTCTCAACCCTGCCGCAGTCACTTCAGCCATAAGACCAGTTTTTAAGATTTTACATTGTGTCAAACAACGGTTTCTGCTCTCTGAAACTTTGTGATCAAATTCATTTTGACTGATTGACCAAGTGAAGCCCCAGAATGCTGTTCTTTCACCTCTCTTTGGTGTAAGTATACGTGTGCTGGATTTACAGCCAGCATTCTGTGTGTTCAGTTAGCTTATAGGACTCCTAGTTTCAATGCATTTAAACAGCTCCTGTCTGCTGTGATGCACAATTTAGAGCTCCATCTGCAAGTGCAGCAGGAGATACCAGACCACCCTTGCATAAATCCCCCCAAACAGTCTCTCACCAAGTAGAGAAATAAGAGGCCTGCAAAGGTAAGAAAAATTCAGATGGTCATCAATATGTCCCCTTGCCCCACTCGCGAGCGAATGTTTATCAGTGAGTCAAACGGTTGTATTGCTTATTGACTGACACACTATAACCTCAATGTGACACAAAAGCAGAGGCCTCTAACCTGGAATGATTGCCCCTAGCATACGTTTTTCTCATGGCTTCAAAGATTTCTTTATTTATAGTTCCTGAATTCTTTTGCTAGTTGTGTCCTTTTTTTGGCCTCATAGGATATATCAGTAAATGCATCTATAGGTAAAAAAAGAAAGAAAAAGAAGAATGAACCATAATTATAGAAATATATTATTGCCTAATGAAAATGAAGCACGTTTTAGAAACATTACAACTGTTTGCTTTGTGACATTATTTTTGACACAATCAAATACTCCCCAAATTCCCATTACCATAATTGCAAACATTTTACTTTTAATTGTTTGTGTAATTCCATTAATCTCAACGATGATTCTTATTACTGTAAAAAATGTTGTAAAATAATTCATAATGTTTTTTCATAATGTACATATTTAAACAATTTACATAATTGTTCTGCATTACAGAAATTATTTTGTTTTTTTATGTGTGCATTATGGTAATGAGAATTATGGGGAAAACTTGCATAATTGTCAGAATTGTCATTGAAAATGTCATTATAAAATATTAATGGCCATTAAATTGGTCAAAACTGACAGTAAAGACTTGTACTGTATTACAAAACTTTTTTTTTTAAATAAATAAAAGAATCCTTAAAGTGTATAACAGTTTCCACATAAATATTAAGCAGCACAACTGTTTTCAGCATTGATGATAATAATAATAATAATAATAATAATAATAATAATAATAATAAATAATAATAAATAATTAATGTTTCTTGAGCGACAAATCAGCATATCAGAATGACTTCTGAAGATCATGTGACACTGAGGCCTGGAGTAATGATGCTGAAAATTCAGCTTTGATCACAGAAATAAATTAAATTTTTAAATATATTCAAATATAATTTTTTTTTTTTAAATATGCAATAATATTTCACAATAGTACAGTTTTACTGTATTTTTGATAAATAAACAAATGCAGCCATGGTAAGCATGAGAGACTTTTATTTTTATTTTTTAAACATTTAAAAAAAATCTTACAGACCTCAAACTTTTGAACAGTAGTTTATTTTTTTTTATCTTATTTTAGTGTAAATTGTGCCATAATACATAATAAATTAGTCTGATCATTTTATTCCTTCAAATAAATGCAAAACTATTTGTATTGTTACAGGTAAAATATAATTCCAGTAATTTGATGAATAAGATGCTACAAGTTTTGCTTTCATATTTATAGATTTCTTTGGTTTATACTGCTAATACGTAACTCCAGAAATGTATTTTATTGTCATTCATGTGGAGTGTCCAGATTCTCTTCTATGCATTCTGACTATAAACAGTGAGATTGAAGAGAAGCGCGCCTCCCTCTGGTCAGTTTGAACACATTGCATAGCAGCAGCTACTTGCTACTTGCAGATGTATCCATGTCTCCTGTGCTAATTATCATTAAGATTTTAGAAAAAAAGGAGTAGAAATCATAACCACCCACCAAAGCGTTTTTTTAACACTAATAGGGTTTTCACAATAAGAGCTAATACAGTACATCATAAGATCGTGGGAAATGCGCTTACAAAATTAGATTATGCACTTATTATCATGGCTGTAATGTACATTTTATGTTGTTGTTTCTTTTTTGTTTAAAAAAAAGGAATTGCCTCTGCTTAAACATGAATGCACCACAATTAATAAGAGAAGGTATTAAACCTCAGTTGTTATTTATTCATTTCTCCTGTTGTCTCTCCTCTCTCTTTCCCTCCGCTATGTTTGAAACAGCCGGGTGTATATGTGTCCGTTCACAAACCCTCGGCGCTAAGATTGGAATTCTCCTTTCTCATTACCAGCCTTAATAGACCCCCTCGACCTCATCCCAGACCGAGATATTATCTGATCCATAGAATTAATTAATTATAGCCCAAATATTATAGATTATTAAAAATAGCATAAGTAATAGTGTAATATCTCAAGCTGTCGAGTTTAATAGTCAACATTGTCTTGGCACCTCTTATCAGTGGGAGACACCCGGTCAGAATATTGATTTCTAGTCGTTTTAACCATCATCTGCTGTTGTGATGGAGAATTGTCAAGCTTTTACTACTCTGTGCTCATTTAAAATCATTAGATTGCTTCTGACACTTTGACTAAAGCTGTCTTTTCTCCCAGAGCACTAGAACGGCACAATATTTTATATTGTGTAAACTGACTGCAAATTTGTGCTGTCACAGCAGAAAAAAAACCTTTTATTATTATTGTTTATTATTTTAAGATGACCGTTATTTAGAGCTGGGGGGGGGGGGTCATTTAGTATTCTAAATACCTCTGATCTACCCAGCTTCCCTGGTCAGTTTTAGCTTTTGATATTATCTCATGCATTTAAAACAATAGAGACCTGTGAATGTTTTATTATTATCTGGTCAAATGATCTGGAATATGTAACTGACTTGTGCTCATGCACAATGGTTTGGGATGCTATTGTAGGGTTGTCTTGGTTATTAAATTGTCAATAATGAATATGTTATTGTCAATTATTTTCTCACATAATCTAGGCTGTAATAAAAAAGGAAGTCGGTTCGATCTGTTTCATGTGTGTAGACTTGGGGGTCTGTGAATTGGACAATTAACATGCAAAGTATTGTGCATAATATGATTAAATTGACTAAATCATTCAATTTGCTACTGGGAGAATTTCCTAATTACAGCAATTCCCCAATCAGCTAGCAAAACAGCCTGGCTGACTCAACAGCCAATTATGTGTTTTCATGGATAGACAAATTGTGCTTTCATGGTTAAACATATCTGAAGTCTACTACGGTATAATCAAGTTGCAAATGCAAGGTTTTGTGCTGTTTAGTGTATAATTTGCATAATTTACATAAAACATAATTTAATCAGTTTGTTAAAATTAGAATGCTAGTCTGTACAGAAGTATATGCAAATGTAGGCTACAAAATTGAAAAACACTCATGGGAAAGCCTATTATAATGGCCATTATTTGGCCCCTGTATAGATCAGATTAGAAGTTGAATGTCAAGGCCCGTGATGCTGCAGTCTCTTGCAGGGGCTTATATCATGACTCCCATGGGTCCAGTCTTGATGGGATAATCATGTTCATCCTTACAGCTGATTGTTTTACCCATTTTTGTGCAACTTTTAATTTCTTGCTTATAAAGGGTCATTGCCTTCGATAATTGCAAAGAACTGACCATCTGAACCATACAAAAAATATATATATATATATATATATATATATATATATATATATATATATATATATATATATCAAATCAGCCAATAAACAATTAAAAATGCTTCTATGTGTTTCTGTTCTGTCCTCATATTGAAAAAGACACTGCTAACCACTCCAAGACATCACTGCTTTCAAGTGGCCCATTTTCTCATTAATTTCTCTGAAAACAATGATTATGGTACCCTTCACCCAGCCCGGGAGATGGGAGGGAGAAAGTCAGGAAAAATAAGCCTTTTTAGTGTGTTTCCAGTCCAGTGCTCTCACGTTGGGTGTGATTTGACAGCCGTGTATATCAGAGGCCACATCATCGCTCACACTCCTCTGGTTCTCCTCATACTCAGACCGAGATAATAGGCTATTAGAGGCATGGGATTAATTTGTAGCCAATTACCACTCACAGTGGAATATGAATGCATAAATAAGCCACGGCTTGTGTCTTAAGTTTTGGCGATGATCAGAGCTGTGTAAAGGGGAGGGTAGCCAGCTGGGAGGGAGTGAGTGAGTGAGTGAGTGTGTGTGTGTGTGTGTGTGTGTGTGTGTGTGTGTGTGTGTGTGTGTGTGTGTGTGTGAGAGTGTGTGTGTGTGTGTGTGTGTGGGGGAGTGGGGGAGAGAGTGAGTGTGTGAGAGAGTGTGTGTGTGTGTGTGTGTGTGTGTGTGTGTGTGTGTGTGTGTGTGTGTGTGTGTGTGTGTGTGAGACATAAACGACGGGGTGTCCTGAGGGGACGGTTCAAACCCAAAAAGGACCTGAGCAGGGGGACATCAGCAACAACAACCAGAGACCGGCTGGATCAACTTCTGACCAAAATCATCTTAAGTAGCAGACTGCTCTTATTCGATGTCTTTTCACCAGTATGTGTCCTGTTGAATAAAGACCGGCGAAAGAAAACAGAAGTCAGACAGCTGTGCTGCCCTCTGGAGAGCTATGAACCGGGATAAAGTGCAGGCTGGCGAATCCATCGTGCCTGCCGCTGTGATCGTGGTCGCTCCGCGGGACGGCATGGACGACAAGCGGCTCGCTGCCGGAGAATTGCCCGTGTTTAACTGCGCTGGAGAGAGAGACGCTTTACCGGCGGAGAGTCGAGAAACCTCACCGAGACACGAGCCCTCACCCGCCGGCGCGCCTCCTACAGTCCACAGGACAACCTCCTTCTCGGTTTTGGACATTTTGGACCCCAATAAATTTACTAGTAAGAAGCAAACACCTAACAGGACAGGTTGTGATTTCACGTTTGGTGCGGAAAACAGAAGCGATGACTCAAACCACACGATGGACCTCAAGTCTTATCAAGAGGACTACGACTGTAAAAAAACATCAGGGATTTTAAGTAAGTTACGATTGTTTTTCCTTATAATTGTGTGTATGTTCAAAATTATGTTTAACATGACAGAGTGAAAGTGCATCGTTTACAAATAACATGGGCATGCATTTTTTCAACATTAACGTTGTAGCCCAAGTTAAAATCATATAATGGAAATGTGGGCAAGTAGCCTATGTGCATGTGTGTTTATTATTATTATTATTATTATTATTATTATTATTATAAATCTTAATGCAAAATGTACCTGGATTGTATAAGGGAGTAAAAAGGCCGTGTTTTAGTTACTGTGATTGGTCACCTAACCCTAACGATTATAATTCACTTTTTTCACTTTTCGCTTAAAATGATACTGTGGTGTCAAATAAATTACTTGGAATATTCGTACTTTTATTAGTCTCATAATTATTTACGTCATAATGTATAAAATAGTTTTCGATAGAATATAACGTCATTGCAGGATACTGCTTGGAATCTCCATATTCAGAGCTGTTTTGTTGCTTAGGGTGTTTATTATAAGAAAACTCAAGTTTTATAACAAAATTTCTTTATTGTTAACAAATGCAACCAGACCTTAAACCACTCTTCTGCATCTGGAAGAGCCATACAGATGGACTTAAACTAAAGTTTATTTACAGAAGGAATTGTATCAGTTTTTTTAAAATAATTAAAATCCTTGTAAATTGACATGTTGTCTTTTTTATTGAGTGGTTGTGGAGTGAACTGAGGGATTATTATAATAATAATCCCTCGTTATTCTAAAAGATGTTACTTTTACTGTTATTCTTGAGACTGGTAGAAACTTATTTTAAAATGTATGTCACTTGGCATTTTAATTGTGTGTGCGTGTGTGTTTGTTTGTCAGGTGAATACATAAGAACACATCTTTAAATAAATCTTACGTTTAATAATTTTAGCAATTTTTTGAGCTCCAAAGATTTGGGAGCACTACAGTTCGAGCACCTTCTACACTTTTTTTTTTTTTTTTTGGGAGACCCGTGATCGATATCTCCTTTAATAAGTATAATAGGTTTTAATCTTGTAATTATCCGAATTTTGGTCCTATAATTTAAATGTTGAGAAAGCGTTTGCAAGCTGCCTGAAAGAGATATACTCATTTCTATAATAGGATATCGACCAGTCTGGAGCAGATCCTCCACATTATCAGCGTCTTTACGCAGCTAGTTGTGTTAAATTAAACACAATCGAATGAGTTTAATTGTTTTTTTCTTTAGATATATTAGTGCTTTGTCTGGAATCTAAATGGTGAAAACAGAAAGCGCGGTCTTCATTGGGATCATCTTATCTTCTGTGCCTGCATTTGCAAGGACAAATATGTGTCAACCTCTATGATTGATTAGAGGCAGCGCACGAAAGCAAGTTTCAATAAACAGTAATTGTAGGCTGCAATAATTTGATAAGGTTTGTGCTGTTTTTAACAGCCGCTTTAAATGGATGAGTAAATTGAGAGTTATCGATTAGACGAGCGTGCTGTGATTTAAGATGTCAAGACGAATTGACACGCCATCTACTCTGTCCACACTTTATATAAAGAGGAAAAACGACTAGAACAGAAATATCAGTTTAATTTTAAGTCTAAAAATGTTGTCATTCCGTTTTTTAAGGATTTCAACTTGAAACTAGTTGGCTAAACATAATTAGGCATGTGCTATACACTCTTAAAAATAAAGGTGCTTAAAAGGTTCTTCACAGCGATGCCATAGAATAACCATTTTTGGTTCCACAAAGAACCATTCAGTCAAAGGTTCTTTAAAGAACCATCTTTTTCTTACCTTTTTATAATCTGAAGAACCTTTTTGTGAAACAGAAAGGTTCTTCAGATGTTAAAGGTTCTTTATGGAACCATTTAGACAAAAAAGGTTCTTCTATGGCATCGTGAAGCACCTTTATTTTTAAGAGTGTAGCCTAGTTTATTTCAGACAATTAAAGTAGAAAATAATTTCTACCTTACCAATCGAAATCACATTACAAGAAATGTTACATATTTATTTAAATGAGAAAATTATATTTGCTATATTTTTCTCATCTATTTTACTCTAAAATAAAACCCTTTGAGTAAGAAACAACTGAATTTCCTTACTAAAATTATTTTCTTCTCCCTGTTGGAGCTACCAAACTCATATCAGCGTGTTAAACTGTGTTCAGCTGTGCATTCAGGGCATTTGTAGACGGCGGTGTAAAGCTGACTTTTAACGGCAGTGTTGTGTGTTTCCACAGAAGACGGATTTGTGTTCCGGTCAGATGAATGCGAGGCTGATTTGACCCGAGGGCATCAGTCGGACAGCGAGCTGCAGGAGGACCTGTGCAGCGAGGAGAGCAGCGGCCTTATGATAGGAAACAACGACGCCGAGTTTGGACAGCACGAGGACGACGACTCACTAAGTAAAAGTCCAGAAGGACAGCAGACTCAACAGTCCTCATCAAACGGACAGAATCACTCGGTCAAACCCAAACGTAAGCGCTCCGGTTCAGACTCCAAGTCTGGCAAACCCAGAAGGGCCCGAACTGCGTTCACGTATGAGCAGCTGGTGGCTCTGGAGAACAAATTTAAGTCGACGCGATACCTGTCCGTGTGCGAACGCCTCAACCTGGCGCTGTCTTTAAGCTTGACAGAGACTCAGGTGAAAATATGGTTTCAGAACCGCCGGACCAAGTGGAAGAAACAGAACCCGGGAGCAGACACGAGCGCACCGACCAGCGGGGGTGGAGGAGGACCGAGCAGCGGGCTGGGCAGCCTGAGTCCTCTGAGCCCGTCTCCTCCTATGGGCGGTCATCTGTCCATGCACGCCAGCTATCCGGGTCACACGCCAGGAGGACTCGTCTGCACCACTCAATTGCCCTTTCTGCCGGGTCACGCGGTACTGTCACCCTTCATGCTCGGCTCTCAGACTTACGGAGCTCACACATTTTACGCGCCGCACTTATAAGAAATCATCTTCAGGAGATCTTGTCCCGGATCGGAAGAAACCTTGTCCGGTCAAATCCGGCACAGGAACATTTTTAACTTGAAGCACTATGCTGTTACACAGTTTTTGACAAACCTATCAAATGTCTTTGCAAGTGAGATGTAGCAAACATTCTTCAACTGTGGCAAGCCCAGAATTAAGTTTAGGAATAATTTTCCTCATGTCCGGCAATACATGCTAATAATTAGATTTCATTACAATATGCTTCATTTTGATAAAATGTGAATATTTCTCAAGGTCAAACTGTATATATTCAGTTATTATGAAACGTGTTTAGACATTAACTTTGAATGCACATGAATTAAACGATATGTAGGCCTACTGAAACAAAGAATGAGATTGGACTAAAATCGTGTAAACATAAGCCTAATGAAAAGTTTTTTTGTTTTTCTTTTTCTGTGGGCCATATTATTTAATTTTGACGTTGCATAGACTATGCTATTATTTAATTGTTTGTCTCACAATTAATTGGTTGAAATAAAATTACAGATGACAAAGAACAGTTGTCAAACATTTCGTTGAACTAAATTTAAAACCAAGTTTTACATGATCTTGCACTCTATGCTAATGTCTGATTTGAAGTTGAAGTTTATAAACTGTGAAACCGTTTTCTCTTTGCACGAAATTGACCGCGATTAATTCCAGCTTTTCGTCAATGAAGCGCGAACAGGTGTTCATCTATTTACTTTACATTTCACGTAATTTTTACCAATTTAGAAACTTTCTCCCTTTTGAAACCCTTGTGTGTAATGACTTAGGCTGAAACAGATTATTGTTGCTTTAATTTATTTGAACATTACTTATGTACCTATATACGAATAGCTATATAATGTAGAAAATGCTATTATTTTACATTTTTTAAATATTTAAAATAAGATAATAAAGGTCCCTTTTAAATCGACGTTTTGATTTAATAGCTGACATTCACGTTATTGATATTTAAGCAACTGATGACTACGGAAAGGCAGTTGAAACGTATGCTTTTAAAATATTTCGATTGCAATTTAAAGTTTTGTTCGTTAAATGATTTTGGGCTATTATTGTATTTCCGTTTGCTAGTGAAAGTAAAGAAAGACTGATGTTTAACACGGGACTCGTTTCTGAAATGTTCGTACTTTAAGTAGGCCTACTATTAATATTAAGTCATATTAAGGGGTCCAACACCTAAAGACGAATTAGTAATGCTGCTAAAATTCGCATGATTTTCAGCCTTGCTGTTGCGATTGTTATTGATGCATGCTTTGTAGTTATTCTGCTTAAACTTTGAATGGCATAAACTATTACATTAAACCTATATTATACAAGCAAACTTTTCTTTTACTCGATATTCAACGGGGAAATAATGTTAGCGATTGTTTTGTAAAAAAGGGTTTTGTGTTAAATATTAAAAAACGATTGCTAAATTAGTTTCCTGCATGCCAGCGTAAGATCTCGTGTCGTGGCCAGACATATAATACACAATTAAATGGGTGCAAAAGCTACATTTCACGTTTACAGCATATTATATTAATTACGTATTATTGTTATTTTTTTAGTTAGAATGCATTAAATACTTAAAATTACAATGTATTTTTTCCCCAATTTTGCAAGTGAATAAAATTAAGGGGGGAATTATAGTTGTTATATTGCACACGGACCATGACGATCTTTTTAAATGCATTATTACTTTTGTCCGATGCAAATATTCTTCGCCGTCCGTTTGGATATCATCATGACCCCACGAGTAAGACCAATGTCAATACACACCCATTCAGTAACCGCGAAATCACTTTCCCAATTAACAACTTTAGGCTGGTTGAAAAGTATTGCTTCCTTGTTTCATAAGCAATGCTATATTTTTTCTGCAATATACAGTATCATGTTAACTTTGCCTCATTTAAAATTGTAAGCCATTCTTCATTTGTTGTAATGAAAAGATGTTTTTAAATATAATTGCTACACAAATTATATTAATAAAAAGATGTGTGCTTACGATTTCAGCGGGCCTAATCGATTAAGGTAAACTGTAAGCCTATTGAGATTGTGTTACTTGAATGACATCCTACCATTAATATCTCAAATTGTATGCAAGTCTTAAAGTGTAAAAAAAAGAAAAAGAAAAAACAATCCTGCCTTGCCTTTGCATTCAAATTTTGCTATGGTGTATTTTTAATCTTCACAAAGGAAGGAAGTCATGGTTTTTAAAATCAGAATAGAAATGTACTCTTAACATTCAAATAAGACTTGCACTGACAACACATTTCTTTAAAAGTACTGTTCTATTTTAAATTCTAGATTACATAAAAACAATGTAGCAAAGACAAAAGTTTTACCTTTTTAAAATTAATTATATACCATGCAGAAAAAAAATATTAAAATAATTCAGGCATTACAAATGACAATCTAAAGTTTATAATGATGCACTTTTTTTTATTTGTGTAATAATCCAAACAACTGAGGTGTGGCGAGCTGTATCCTTTAATTCAGTGCATAGTTAAACTGATTTGAAAATTTCTCATGTTTCCTCTTGTCCATCGTGTTCATGACCTCTGTAACTCGTCTCATGGAGCTCCTATGAGGAAACAATGTGGTTGAGATTCAAATTCTTTATTTACTCATCACTTGTGAAATATACTGTTCACCAATATTCAATAAAAATATACTTGACTTCAGTTATCTCCAAATATAACCAAAAATATCAGGTCAATTGAGTGATTTTGTATTTAATCTTGAACATATACTATGACTTACTTGTTGAAGACTTTCTTCTCTAGTCTTGAACGAGAGGTACTGGCATTTTGCTTTAAATCTGTAAGGTTTGGGTACTTTTTCTTTGACTTTCCTTTGTTGCCATTCTTTCCCTTCCCATACGTCTTTGAGGAGCCCAGATCTTCTCCAGTCACGGCTTCAATCTCCCTCATGAGCTCTGGGTCTCGCCAATCTGAACCAATGGGAGAAAGGTTGCTAGAATTTACATCAATGCACCATACATTTCTTCAAATATTTGACTTCTTCAAATCTTGAAAATAAGAAAATTTTTCAAATTCGAACTATGCATCATCTTTGTTAAATCATTTATCCCATGGAATATAAAGATGATCAAGGCCTCAGCCTTTGATTTTGGTATAATGAGTGATAGTAAAAATGTGTGATGGTAAGGACATTTAACTTAACAGTGGTGAAAAAGTTTAATATAACTAGGACTGGAAATCATTCTAATATGCTGATTTGATGCTCAAGAATAATTTCTTATTTTCAGTGTTGAAAACAGAAAATCAATTTGTGGAAACCATGTTTTTTTTCCAGAACTTTTTAATGAATAGAAAGATCAAAAGAACAGCATTTATTTGAAATAGATTTTTTGTAACGTTAAGGTTTTTACTGTCACTTCTGATCAATTATGAATTTCTTTCAAAAATATTATTACTAAACTTTGTACAGTAGTGTAGATAGATAGATAGATAAATAGATAGATAGACAGAAAAAGTAGCAATTAAGAGACACAGCAGAAAAAAATATTTAAAAAGGTTCCATTCTTAAAAAAGGCTTATTTGAAAAATGGTTAAATTTGTCACATTTTGTAGTAACAATTCCCCTCTTCAGAGTTGCTGATTTCTCCAAGAACAAAATGCTTCGTAAATCTTTCTTGTGCAAGCTCAGGACTCAAAATCATCAACATTTCATTAAGCATGTCCTCTACTGAAGATACATGCATATCTTCAAATGATAAAATGGTAGCTGTTAAAGTATTTACAGTTTCCAAAGTGTTTAATTGCACAGAGTACTGCGCTTCATCAGTCTGTAGTGAAAAGCATGCATGCAACAAATGCCTTTTAAATGAATATGGAGGAGTTGGTCGTCCCTATAAGGATTTATGGAGGTGAAAGGCCCCCCGTTACATGAGTGCTACAATCCATCCTCACTTAAGTCAAGTCTTTAGGGGCTTCATTCTTGCTGTGAGGATGATGGGGGGCCCTGTGTTTAACTTAAGCTGTGCAGCAGGTCTGACTACTCTGTCAACAGTTCGCATCTGCATAAGTCGGGCACACATGAGCATCTCAGGCAACAGCTGCAGTCAGCCTATTTGATTATCTATAGAAAACACATTTAAACACAAAAATGCTATGATAAGATGGTTGTGAAGTGCACAGTAATATTGTTCTTTGGGAGATTTGCACCAGTCCAGACTATTCTGGGTTAAATATAAATTAATTTACAGAAATAATTGACTTCTAAATGGCAAAAATTGTGGTTATGGTGAGGCAGAAATGTGAACCATATAATTTTATAAAGGCCTTTATGTAAATTTTTCTGTTAAAACTTGAATTATTTCAGCTTCAAAGCTGTTCTCGTCAATTTTACAGCCATTTTATGGTTTATCACAGGGGAGCCCAATCCTGTTCCCAATCTCCCTTCCTGCAGTGCTCAGTGCAAACCCTGCTCCAACACACCTGTCTTTAATTATCAAGTGTCCCTGAGATCTTAATTAGCTGGTTCATGTGTGCTTGATTTGGGTGTGAGTAGAGTTTCGGTGTCTTGAAATTAACCCCATTCTATTGTAATTGTCTCACTGTAACATATTTTAGTTTTTCTAATATAAAAGGAGGAAAATATGTTTTAGACAACAATTATGACACAAATACTGTAAACTGTTAAGCTATTTTGAACCTGGAATATTACTTAAAGACAACAGACAGCAGCTCTAAAGCCAGAAACAATTGCTTGGCAGACACATTACTTCAAATGTATTTGTCACTGACATGGGATGTGTAATTATTCTAACTAAAGGCATGTTGACAGTTTAATTAACTTTCAGGTATTTGATATTAAATGACCTGCACTTATCATCCGATTGTGGTGGTATCTCTCTATTTGTGCTACTGTCTCTAAGAGCTGCACTGAAAAACTAATTTTTCATTCATCCAATTAAAAAAATGTAGGGTAATGATTCACATCTATATAAAAATGATTCACCCTAAGGGCAAGTTATTTATTTTTCATTGGCTCAAGTTAAAAAATATAGATGTGAATCATTACCCTAAATATTTTTAATTGGATGAATGAAACATTTTTTTCAGTGTAGTGGTCAACACTATCGACCACTACATTCTTTTGAATGGACTAGAAAATTATGTCGGCATTAGTTGAATTGCATTGGCATGGTTCAAATCATACTTATCTGACCGTCATCAATTCGTAGCAGTGAATGAAGAGGTATCATATCGATCACAAGTGCAGTATGGAGTACCACAAAGCTCAGTACTAGGACTGTTGTTTTTCACACTTTACATGCTACCCTTGGGACATATAATCAGGAAGCTCTACACTTAGCTCTACATTTCTTCACAACCCGGACAAAACATACCAATTCGCAAAACTAACAGAATGCATAGCTGATATAAAAAACTGGATGACTAGTCATTTTCTACTGCTAAATTCTGAAAAAACAGAGGTGTTAATTATCGGACCAAAATACTTTGCATGTAATAATCTAGAACAGTGTCTTAACACTTGATGGCTGCTCTGTCAATTCCTCGTCATCAGTTAGGAACCTAGGTGTGCTGTTTGATAGCAATCGTTCCTTTGAATGTCATGTTTCTAGCATTTGTAAAACCACATTTTTCCATCTTAAACATATCTAAATTACGACCTATGTTATCAATGTCAAATGCAGAAACATTAATTCATGCGTTTATGACCTCAAGGTTATATTATTTTAATGCTTTTTTTTAAACAAACTCCAGCTGGTCCAAAATGCAGCAGCTAGAGTTCTTACTAGATATCAATATGTATTATTACTAGATATGTATATATTAGCCCAGTTCTGTCAACTCTGCACTGGCTCCCTTATTAAACATTGTATTCATTTTAAAATCGTGCCAATTACTTATAAAGCCCTGAATGGTTAAGCTCCTTAGTACTTGAGCGAGCTCTAATTACATTACAGTCCTTCACGTCTGCTGCCATTTGATAATACCTAGAATATCAAAATCAACTGCAGGTGGCAGATCCTTTTCCTATTTAGTGCCCAAACTCTGGAATAACCTACCTAACATTGTTAGGGAGGCAGACACACTCTGTCAGTTTAAATCTAGATTAAAGGGCCATCTCTTTAACCTGGCTTACACATAACATAGTAACACACTTCTATAATTCAAATCCGTTAAAGGGTTGTTAGGCTGTATTAATTAGGTCAACCGGAAAGGGGAACACTTCCCATAACGCCCGATGTACTTGTTACTTTGTAAGAAGAATGGCATCTACACTAATATTAGTCTGTTTTTCTCTAATTCTGAGGTCACCGTAGCCACCAGATCCAGTCTGTATCCAGTCCAGATGGTGGATCAGCACTTAGCGAAGACCTCTTCAGCCCTGAATGTCAGCAGAGACCATGTCAACTAGGCGAACCCTAGAGACAGATCCCCTGCGAAGCCCTCGTCAGCCATCGGCTCAAGACCATGAGAACCAGACGAGTCCTCTGCTCAATCTGACGTGCGTTGCAGCCTGGAATTAAACCACACCATGCTGGTTTCATCTGGCCAGAGGAGAACTGGCCCCGACTGAGCCTGGTTTCTCCCAAGGTTTTTTTTTTTCTCCATTTCTGCCACTGATGGAGTTTTAGTTCCTTGCCAACTGACTGTTTTCTATTGTCCTCTTGCATTATCAGCACACATTTTTTAGGTTTAATACTGTAAAGCTGCTTTGACAATCTGTACTGTATAAAGCTATATATAAATATGTACTGTATAAAGCTATATATAAATAAAGGTGACTTGACTTGACTTAAAAGGCAAAACTGATATAGGTGTAGCATATTTTTAGTGCATGGCTTCACAGTGCCCACTGTCATAATGATGAGAACACAATATATTTTTGTTTAAAAATGACTTTTGTTCAAAGTGAGACCAACATACAATGAAACAGTCAAAGTGACCTACATAAATGTCCTGTTCTTTGTCTTTGTTGAAAGATTTTAGAGCAGTCATCCCATATTAGCACTTTGAAAATCAAAATGTTTCACAGTTTTAATAAATGTAACAAAGCAACTTAAACTGGCTTTTATGGGGGGATGCCAGGGCATCACTATGCAGTTACTAAGGAGTTCTAAATGATTGTTAATCTGTTGCTATGCTGATGTTAGTGTGGCTGCTTACTGGCCAACTCAAAAGAGTCTTGCACCCTCAAGACTCTACACTCTCTGAAAAAAAATGCTACAAAACTTGTCACAGGGTGGTATAATTTCCAAAAGTACACCTTTGTACTTTATTTAGCCTAAAGGATTCATATCAGTACCTCAAACATATTATTAGCTAAATGGTACAGCATAGGTGTTAGATCTGAGGTCACACTTACAAGTTTGAGCACCACTAATGGATACAAACGAGAAATTTACATTAGACACACAAACAAATACAGTGTTCAGAATCACGTGCGACTGAATTATTTTTGGAAGACTGAAGCCTGAAGCAGAAATCAATGGTGCACCCGGGGAGCAAGTGTTCAGTCTGTGAACTGATGGACATCATGGGCACACCAGCAGCGCAGCAGAACAGGTGGGGTGTCCTGTGGTTACCCTGACAACCGGCATGTCGACGGGGAGAGGGCGTGATGGAGTCACGGGGATCGATAGCTTACTTAGTTACAAAAGATGCTATTTCACAAGCCAGTGGTCAGCAGGCCCCTGAAGTCAGTTGCCTCAGATAACTGTTTGTTAACAAGTAAACTGTGGCCAAAGAAAGCACATCCGACGCTCCAGTGACAGCATGGAGACGCTACTTAATTGGCTTTTAGCACCCGACTCCACAAGAAAAGAAACCCAAGCGAGAAGGAGAAAAGTGAAAAGCTGAGAGGCAGAGTGAGATGCAGCCTCTCCTATTATCTGAGTATTGATGATGACTTGGATGGGATTCCATCAGTTCATCTCTTCCTGGAATCTCACAGCCACCTGATTGGGCTGTTGACCACTCAGCGTGTTATAAGGAAGGAACTGTGGGTAATGGAGGTCTAGGATTTCACCTGGATGCTGGTTACTAAAGGACTTTTGACAGTGTAAAAGGCTTTGGGGGTCTTCAGCACTGGGCTGACAAAACATGAAAGAAGAGTATCAAGCTTTCAGGTTTGGTGTGCGATATTAATTTGGCAAGAGTGCATGCCTTAAGAGTTTTGCAAAACTGTAAGTAGTAGTTCAGCACATTTTGTTAGAATTTACTCATTTTGTGTCCACAGATGGAAGTCTTACACCTGCAAATACATGAGATATTTTGAAGAAGTCTCATGCTGCTCTTTTCCATACATGTTTACATGCAGCCAAATAATCAATTTGTAATGGACTGATGGATTAATTGGACTGAAAAGACAATGTAAACATCTCAGTCGATCTGACAGAGATCGACCTGAATGAAATTTGTACTGAGATTTAATGGGGCGATGAAGACTCACAATAATCTTATCAAGAGGAAAAAATAGGCATGTAAACACCTGAATCTGACAATTGTCTCTATCATATCATATTCAAACATACCTTGCCCACATGCACAATGATGTGATGGTTATGTTGACATACAATTAACATCTTACAAAATGGTCAGAGGAGGAGAATTAATATTTACTAAATATTTGCTAAAAAGCTCTTCTGAATTAAATGTCAGCTTTGTTTAGAGATATGTCATCAAGACCCCACTGGCATCATCCTGGTGGCTTTCTCTGATGCTGAACATGGTGACTGGGTTTTGTTTGGAATACATGTAAAGCACATGTAAACGAATATTTGAATTGGACTGCAACATTTAGGGGTCATATAAACAACTTTCAGAATCTGAAATTTGAATAATTCATATTTAAAAAATATATATGTAAACACACCTACTATCATGCTTCAGAATAACAAAAAAAACAAAAAACAATTTGATCCTCAGTTTTAATTTTTGGGTGAACTATCCCTGTAGGTAACTATCACTGTTGATTACTGTCAGTATTGTTAAAATAATTGTTAATTGTTAATATTGTTAAACAGGTTGCATGAATGATCTAACCTGGCTGCTCCTCCTCACGCTTCCTCTTTTCCTTCTCCAATCGCAGTGCATCTTCTGGGTTAACAGGCCTGCCCAGCTCATCCCGAGGGATAATGTGTCCATGGAAGGGGCACTGAAATTACATCTCATTTGATTAATCAGTTTATTCAATCAGTGTCTTGCTTATATCTATTTATTTACATCAGTGGTCACCAACCTTTTCAAGCCCAAGATCCCTGACCTTAGCCTTTATGAAAGACAAGATCTACCGATTGAAGAATTGATTAAAAAAAAATTGTACTTCCAATCTGAGGCCTTTTATTTAGTATTTTCATTAGTGATGCATCGATCATGATTTTTCATGGCCGATTCAGAATTCTTTTTTTTTTTTTTTAAAGCAAATGTATTATTTGGTTATTTAATCTATAGCAAGCAAGCTGGCCTTAAATATATGTAGCCATTTTTAATTAAAGGCAACCACTGAATTTTAATCATGATTCAACCATGCTGCACACGTTTTTTTTAAAAAGTAGATTGTACAATTTCAGGATTTAAAGCAAAAAAAGAATGGTCCTGACTTTAGCTTTGTGAAATTATACTGCATAAAACATGTCTGCATGAAAAAAACAAAACAAAAAACAGACGGCCTGAATGAGATGCAAATTCACTGTCTGACAGCAGGTGGCGCTTATGGAACAGCAGCATGCAGTGTTTCCTTGGTTACCACTGTAAACAAAGCAGCAATACTATATACCAGTGCTTCTCAAAGTCCGGACTCCGGTCCGGATCCAGACCCGGAGGGAATTCAGTCCGGACCCACTTCCATTTCGTATTTCAAGAACACAAATTATTTCCTACTTTCATAAACGCATGTTAAACTTGTAAATGATATGTTTCGTTTTTTAATGTCTTTTTGGAGATGGTCCGAAATGGAAGCGAAGGCGAGATATTGAAACTTTTCCTTCATGTCATTTGTTGTCATGACATCCAGTGAGCGTATGACGTTTGACATAATCGGACGACAAATCACCGCTAATATGAGTAATTTTTTATTTATTTATTTTTGTTATCACTTAGATTATGGCCATTTGACTTATAGCAGTGTCCAGTGTTTCCCATACATTTAGTTATTTGTTGTGGCCCATCACAAAATCAAAACTGACTGCCACAAATAGATTTTCCAAAAGGAATCTACTTCGTTGAATAAACTGAGCACTGCATGTTTCAAAATTAAAATGCAGCGTGGATGTTTTTATATGAATGCATAATTGAAAAGAACCGACAGTCTTCAGAAAAGCTTTGATGTCATTTTCATTTCGTCTTTCCTAGCCTTTTGTATTTGATTACAGCCATTACCGGGGAAACCGCTGTATCTCCGCTCCAACAGTGCCTCCTACTGGCAGAGAATTAATTTGCATTTGCAAGTCTGTGAGAAACACTGGTGTCTGTCAGCAAACATAAACAAAAAGCATGCTTCAGAACTGTTTTGAGAAGGTGCTTTGAGCCATGTATTATTACTATGAATTCGGCTACTACTCCTACTACTATCTTGTGCCCTGCAATAATCATTTACTCAAACTCGCTTTTATGAGATAAAGAAGAAAGAAAAAAAATCGGCCAAACATATCAGCCAAAAAAAAATCAGCCAACGCCTGCCCTGATTTCTAAATATCGCCATCGGCCAGGGAAAAACCCTTATCGGTCGACCTCTGTTGTGACACTTAAATTAATTGTTTTGCCAATTTGCACTTTATTTTTTCCAAAAAAATTATGTTTATTTGTTATGCATGTTATGTATGTTTATTAAAAACAAGTTTTGTAATAACCAATTGTTCCAGTCCGGACCTTTGACACTGATGAAAATTCAGACTTGGACCTTTGAATGGAGACTGAGAACTCCTGCTATATACAGAGGTAAGAGGAGAAGAAAATGCCATTGCTATTCAAAACTTCTATGATGACAGTCAGTTCCCTTCAGCGATACATTCATATTATCCCTCAACCCCCAATTCAGTATTTATATTTTCTTCCTATATTTCGAGCATCGTGAACAGTGAGCTGCAATGCTGGCTGCCCGTCGCGATCGATGGATTGGCGACCACTGATTTACATCATGATATAAGAATATGTTTCTACCATTCTACCAAACACAGCTAAATATGGGCCAAAAAGTTCAGTATTACATCTCTTCTTTGTATTTTATTAGGGCATCATTATTGTTACTTTTCTGACCTTTACTCTATCTTGACGTTCACACAAAGATCCATCTGGCATTGGTGCGTTGCACTTGTGCTCCACAGGTTTAAATTTCCCAGCAAAGGTGATGTATCTAGACTTCATCTCTGCAGACAGTTCCTCATTTTCAACTTCCTCCTCCACCTCATGAGGCACCCAGAACTGGTGCTGTGATGCATTCCTAAAACCAGTGAGGACAGGGTCTTATTACAGGAACTGCACAAACTCTATCAATGTGTGATCTTTGACAATTTCATTTTTTAAAGAATTTGCCTTCATAAAGTGCATTTTTGCAGGTTCAATATTTTAGGGGTGAGCATAACTAGTAAAATGTATTTTTAGTATAGAAATGTTCATGATTTTCTCAGGACTTTTATAGATTTCCATGAATTTTCCAGGCCTTAAAATGACAATTTCCAGGTTTTCCATGTCAGTAGGAAAACTATATTGTACAAGTATATCTTGTTTCAGGATGTCAAAAAGGTAAACCTCCAGATCAATGTTTTCATCATTTAATTTTGAGGAATAGGAGTTCTAAAAGACAGTGAGCATACAATGCTGCTCTCTAGTGGCTATATCACAAATAACACAATCCATTCATACTTCAGAAAGAGACCGATGAATGTATTATGTAAAACATTCCCAATGTTTTTTATGAATGAGACTGTACTTGATGATTTTGCCAGCGGTGGGCTGCTCCTCTCCCCAGTAGTAAAGATCCACACCAAACGGAATGACAGGGGCCTTAACAGAGGCTTTGTCTTTGTCACTGCTGCTCACCGCGACCTCAGTAGACATACTGAAACAACCAGAACACACTTAGATTGCCATCATAAAATACAACAATAAAAGTTTATATTTTATTTTGTATTTTAAATACTATATAAAATATATTTTTATGAATATTTCCATATGAAAATTAGAAAAAAAAAAAAAAAAAAAAAAAAAAA